CCATTCTACGTGACTTTACCGAAAGAACCAAGAAGAAGAATTGTTTAGGTGTTGTACACATATGGGAACCAAACCAAAGTGAAATATTTTTCGTGCACGTGTGATGAACACGCACAAAAGTAAATAAAGGAAGCCCCGTGACACCTTGTTTATAGGTTGTTTATAAACTCGTCTGAATAGGGGACTGCAGGAGCGAGCACGCCACCCGACCAGTTCGTTTGAGACGTGTCATCTGCTGCACGGTAGATGTTAAAGATCTCATGATGACATTCACTCGGGCAAATGATCATCAGGGGTGAGCCGTCCATATTGTCGAACTCTAGGCGGTCGATTAGGGCGCCAAGTTAAGTGGGGCGCCAAAATTTGAGTAAAAAAAAATTTAAATATACAAATAAAATAACGAAGATTTCATTATTTAAATTCCCGTGCGCGTACAGACAGAATATGAATTATAATTGATTTCTCAACGTTTTTGAGAATCTATTGGTTGGACAGACGGACGGACAAACCGAATAATTATGCCTCTGTTTAAAAAAAACATGTTTAAAAAGCATTACACGAAAAATATGGGCAAAATGTTTCCCAATTTACCAAAAACCTCAGCCTAGATCTGCCCTTGGGGGTTAGGGGTGGAGGCGCCGATTGCATGGTTCGCCTAGGGTGCCAGTTGCTGGCAGCTCGTCTTGGGCCGTCCCTGGTCATCATAATCATCATAGCATTTTGGTGTCAGGGACCGCATCTCCTTCGCTGACAGCATAAAGTTCAGAGAGCTGACCGAAAGTAGTCGCCAGTTCTTTTGTCGAATATGAATAACTTTAAGGTTTCTCTTTGTTAAACAAAGAACATATTGTTTATCCAGTGTATCCTGTAGCCTAACACAATAGATGGTGCGTACTTATGTATTCATGCCAGACACATACTGAGAAGACACAATGTGAGTTTATTATTGCAATGTTACTTTCCATTGCACTTACAGGTATGTATGTGTATGCGTGAACACGGAGACAAAAACAGTCTGCTAAGTCTTACGGTTGTGAGGGAAAGCGTTGTTTTCGAGTTCTTATTAATAAGGCTGGCACGTAATTAATAGTGTCTTAGAACATGTACAGGTAACCCAACATATGGGACCATGGGCTCTTGCAGACTCAAAAACTGCACTCACCAAAATATTGTCCTTCTCTGCACCCTATTTTCTATCCCAATTCAGTATTAATGGTGATAGTTGGTGAGATGGATGTGGCTATTTTTTTTTTGTGCTTGTTTTTTTCCAGTGGTGTTTCCTATGCGCTTACTTTACTAAAATGTCCATCCTTGCACAGAATGCTAGTTGGTTTGGATATGACTTAAACAACAGATAATTGTTTCAAATTATCCACAAACCAAGTCACTTTTCCATCCAGCAGTTATATTAAACAGAGGGAGCGAGTACAATTTATCCTTGTTTCGTGTGTGACTCATGCAACATCTGGAATAAATAAACGTTCTTTGTAATGTCTGGCCGTTTTTCCATAAAAATGTATGAAAAAAAACATTGTACACTATAGTGTCATGTAAAACGCAGCCAGTAGGTAGAGTCGAGCAAGACCCATTTGAAATACACAACTGTATATCACGGACTTATTTCGGCACAATCATAGTTGCCCCATGGTAAAGTGTGGCTGTAATTAATGCCATCTGGTTAAGACCAGGTTTTTTTTCTTTACCATAACGAGTTGTAGAATGGCCTGCAGATTTGAGGACTTAATACTGGTAGGAACCTCCTGGTTACACCAGCCCACAGGGGATCATTGTGTCCGTCCGTCGTGCATCCAAAAATGGAAGGGGTGGGGCTGGGTGGAGAGGGGACGGTGGGGAGGGGCTGGGTGGGGAGGGGAGGGTGGGGAGGGGCTGGGTGGGGAGGGTGGGGCTGGGTGGGGGGTGGGAGGGGTGGGGCTGGGTGGGGAGGGGCTGGTCACCCCGTGGTGCCCTTATAAAACTCAACGTTTAACGTACTCACGCCGGCTTGTGCCCACCCTCCATATTTGCGGAATACACCACGCCGCCGTTGACCCTGGCCATTGACCGAGCAACCCAACGTTCCTACCAGCTCCCTCCGCAGGAATGTGTTGTGTAGTTTGCACACATGCATGACCTGGGGATAATAATACGTTTTTGCAAGCAACTATTTCCTGTGTGCAAAATTTGCACAGGCACTGACTAGGATAAGGAAGCGATGTTGCTTGAACGCTGTTGTAACTATGGCAAGTTGTTCCCATTGCAATTTATAACGTGCTGCTCAATTGAATACTGTGGCAAGGCAAGTTGAAGATATGTGTCCGTTACCCCGTGAAATGTACTTGTTGTTGCTGGCTGCTTCATGATGCGGGTCTGTGGTCAGCAACTGTGATTTTTTTTAAGCCAGTGATCTATCACACTTGACTTCATGTTCAAGGTTTACTGCTCTGTGACCAGGTCACAAGGCCGTCATGTCAACAGCAATGATAACGTGTCATGGGAACCTTGCCAAACACTCTTTGGTTATAAAGGCATATGCTGCTCACAAACTAGTGTGTGTGTGTGGTTCCAAAACACCACTTGTTTAAAATCAAGACAATGTGGCAGTGACATACATTGTTATTTGGCCTAAGGGAGCACATCGAATTACTGCAATTACATAGAAGTACCAGAGAGTAGACAGAGAGTCCTTATAAGCCAGCTGTAAACATCTAATTTGGAAAGCACGGTCAACATGTCACAGCTCACGATGTTGATGTCACTGCACCTCACTGGTGCGTTTTTCGTTCTGCTCGGTCCCCAATGTCTGTTCTTGCAGTAGCTTACCATCGGGCTCTCTCTGTGGATTTATTTTGATTGCTGATTTGACGTTTTTAGGACCAAGGCTCGGTCCTCAATATATATCTTCCATATTACATTGGGCAGGGTAGAATACGCAAATCCACGCTTTTCACCGCAGCAGGAGTCAGGCTGGGAGATATCCACAGGACCAGAGAGAGAGAGAATCCCATTTTAGGATGCGCAGCTGTGCACACATACACGAACACGCGGCATAAACCACCCGAACGCCCACCACCCAGAACACTCTGCGGACCGATCGTGCAACTTGTACACGGGAATTATCAACCTGGATTCACCGCGAATGGGAAACGGGCTATGTGAGCACAATGCGAAACGCGTGGAGGGGGCGATGCGCGGATCCAATTAACCGGTGCGCGTGGCCGATTAACCGACGGGCGGAGCAAAGTTCCCCCATCAATGGGAGCTCCCAAGAGCTGATGTTGATGCATAGCATTGAGGTGGTTCAGCCAGATAATTGCATCAGGAGCAGCGGAGTGTATCGCCATGATGACGTCTCCGTCATCTTTGTGGATTGGGCACTAAGTCATCATGTACGTCTCGTGATCAATCGGGTACAGACGTCGTGGGACTGCCGCACATGTTGCGTCTCGAGGCTGATTAGGATGTGACACATGTATTCCTATTGTTTTTGTTTTCATCGATAATCTCCTCTCGTATAGCCATTCCATGGCTGGTGGGAAGGGCTGCGCTCTAAAGTCTAAAGCACAGGGCGACGTGCGCGCTTTATCAGTGTAGCTGTCCAGAATAGACTATACAAGCTGGTGACCTCTGGTACAGACCTCTGGTACAGCATCAGCAGAGGGGCTGAATGCACGGTTTAATGTTTAAAGGGGTTGTACGATGAGTTGCTATGCCTGCTAACACTGATGGGCACGATAGACCCCCGCAATCGTGAACATAATTCGTAATATGTGGCCATTATGTGCCGGTCGAACGGATAAAAAAAGACATCAAATAATAGACACACATGGAAGTTACATCATTACACACGTACCACCGTCGTAACTCCTCCACAATGTATGTCGGAAGGGGAGTCCACGCAGCGCCAGAAAGCTCTTCAGAGGGTATTTGGGCTACTCCTCTACACTCACCATACGTCTTGGAGTCCCCGTACTTTACCGCACCACACATGGCGACCCGCCGATCGATTGTGGTTGTACCCATTTATACTGCCCAGTGGAAGGTGAGGCGGGGTTTAAGACAATTTCTTTGTTGTTTCGACTGCCGCTCCGAGAGATGGAATCGAACCAGCGACTGACCTCTGGATTGCAAATAACACAAAATTAAACACATTTGTTAATAACACTGCCTTAAAGGGATATATAAAAAAACGACGTTTCGGGCTTCATATGTATAGGCATTTTCATGTACTTAATGTATTATTTTTATTGCTCTGGATGTATTCAGTTTACTGGTGGGTGTTGCTACCACGAGCCTGCGTGCTCTGATTAGGTTGTCACTGGGTTTTTATAGTTTTATTTTTATTCTGTTTTTAGCTCTGCACCTGGTGACATCCAGGTGAAAGGTGCTTTACAAGTGTAAATTATTATTTATTTTAAGGCAGTGTTACTGACGAATGTGTTGCGATCTTTTCGGTATGTTTGCTTGTGCACCGCTGGCCAACGCGCCATCACCAAATCGCTTTTTTAAAGCTGCATTTGCAAGTCCAGAGTGCTGACCATTAGACCGCAGCAAGCTCCTTTCGTGCTGGAAAGTGAGGCTTTCCTGGACACACACAGCTGACGAATACGTGACGGGCGGTTGCTCACGGTGAGAGAGAGATTTGGTTCAGCGAAGTGATTCAGCTGCGCGCATCTGCGGCCGTCTGGAACGCTGGAGCTGTGCACTTTAAAATCTAGATGTACAACTTTTTTTTATTTAGAACTGCTTGTTGTGTTTAAGTTTGTTGTCCTTTCCCCGCACCTCAGATCAACACGGTTGGATAAAAACGGTGCGAAAAAAGTTCAACATATACACATTGCGATGTTTTCAGAGAGGCGAGGTGAATGAAGTGAAGTGCTGGGTGCAGTGATATGAGGGGGGGGGGGGGTACTGAGAGAGAGAAGGAGGGAGGCGGGGTGGGTGAGTGGGTGGGTGGGGTGGCTGAGCGAGCGAGCTGGGCTTGCTCACAGAGGGCGTAGCTCTGGATGTCGAGAGGGCGGGGGGTCGCGCGCGAGCGCGCAACGTGGCAGAGTGACGCCAAAGTTTATATGCCCGCTATTGCGCTGCGGGCCAGCGCTGCCTCCGCAATCTCCTCCACTGCACTCGGGCCATGATGGCACGTGTCAGGAGCACGGCAGCGCGCGTACATTGAGTTTGGAAGACACTCGGCAATTTGATTGAACAGATCCGTCTTCGGTCGCAAAGCCCAGCCTGCGCTCTCGACGATGTCAAAGCTCGTGACAGACGCGTGATGCAAGGGTAGCAAAGCGGCGAGCGGTGACAACTAAGGGACGGGGGGGGGACACGCTATGCGACTGCCTCGTCCGCGAGGGTACACAGCACGACTCGGCGAGTGAGCACTCATGGATAGCCAGCAAGAAGCGGCCACCAGCGCCAGCAGCAGCAGGGCGCACGGTGAGGGCTGCGAGGAGGAAGCGCAGCGTCCCAGTCGGGCGGACCGCTTCAAGCCCAAGCGGAAGACGACCGAGGGCAAGACCCGCAGAATCCTCTCCAACATCTTGTTAGAGGAGGCGATTGACAGCGGCAAGGATAACCCCAACCGCGCGTTCGCCAGCAACGCCATCAAGACCACCAAGTACACTGTGTGGTCCTTCCTGCCCAAGAACCTATTCGAGCAGTTCCACCGCTTCGCCAACGTCTACTTCGTCTTCATCGTGCTGCTCAACTTCGTGCCTGTGGTGAACGCCTTCCAGCCCGGCCTGGCAGTGCTGCCCGTGGCCTTCATCCTGGCCGTGACGGCCGTCAAGGACCTGTGGGAGGACTACAGGCGCTACCACTCGGACCGGGAGATCAACAACGCGCCCTGCCTCGTCTACTGCAGGTAAGCGGCTCCTCCGCGTGACCCTGCGTGACCCCGACACCGAGGCCCGCGGTAAATGTGCAATGCTCTCCACACAAGTGGCGTAGCAGCGACATCATTAGCTCAGGTGGTGCCGGCAATCGGTCACGCGGGGGGCTGGGGTGGGGGGCAATATTTGATTTTTCTCACACGGTCGCCAAAAGTTAACTGCTCTTAATTATATTCAAATGTGGAACCTTTGAATTAAAGCATTTTCATGATATAACAAAATAAACCGCGTTTTAAATAAGTGTTGTTTTACACTGTGGTTGAAAACATATCTTATGGTGGTCGTCAAGGGGGGCCCCTTCTCGTAGCTTTGTCCACCAGGGGGGAAGAGGGGGGGGGGGCAAGGCACCCCTTCCTACCCCACTCGTTACGCGCATGTCTCCTCCTCCAACCTCGAATATGCAGTGTGAGCCATTAAATATCCTGCACATCGGAGCATTGTTATATCCAGGACATGCAGCAATGGACCCGTCGAGACACGGACACATTATTACATCTCTCTTTGTAGCAACGACCTGTGTCACATTTCGTGATATTTAATTTGAACACAAAAAATATATATTCAATCTGAACCGATCGTATTCTTTAAAGGTATGTCGTGTATTTCTGGAGGTTCACGACTGCATCTCCGCGCCGTCACCTCGTGCGCCCGCCCGCACGTTCGGTACGACTCTCCGGCGCGATGCCGAGTGACCGGGACTCGCTGTGTCTCGCCACAGCGCCGCCACGTTACGTGATGCGTGCGTGATGTGCACGCGCGTGTGTACACATACGCGCGTGTGTATACATACACACGCGCGCACAACAACAAAGATCCCCTGTAATAGCCTGCAACAGACTTTTGGGGGCAAGTGCTGCTAGCGACGATTATCTGAACCGGTTCTGGGCCTCCCCGGGGTCGACACAGCCTTAAATGAGTACCTGATGAGGTGTGTAAAAACATCGCCGCCAGGGAGACAAAGGCGGTCGGGCTTGGTGCTGGCCACCCACCCCCTCGTGTATAGTTTCGGCCTTCAAAGGTCCTTGCCAACACACGAGTGCGCACACACATGGAGAAGTGTGAAAAGAGGATTTCCCCATTGTCATCTGAGATATAATCAATATTTATAGCTTAGCGTGTCCCAGATGAGACACAATGGGCATCCCTTCCTGCACAAAGCTCTCGGTACGATGGTAATGTCACTTGGCCCTCTCACACAAGGATATATCGATGTAAGAGAAAGCCTTGTACTCACAAGCAGGAATGCCGGGGCATGAATCTACCTATACATGGCCCGAATGAGACAGCCTCACACGGAGCTATTGTTCTAATCAGATCAGTCCGTGCAGGATTGAGATGGATTGTGGCATCGCAGGACTGAATGATGGTGATCGTGTGAGGAAGCTTTCCACCAGCAATGGCTGATGATGATGGTGATTCACTTATAATCCGGACATTTCATGATTCACATAGTTCTTGGTGGTGAGGTTACAGAATGAAACAAAATCCTAGCCACTGTTGACTCAGCCCACATTTCTGCTGTAGTTGATGCACTAAGCTATATTGTGCCTGTAATAAGTCAGCAATGGGTTGTTCTAGTCACGCTGCCCATGATTAGAATGTGGCATCCCCCACCTTTGACATGGAGCTGCCTATGGAGATGGAGTACAATGATCATCGGCCAACATTTGTTGAGAGAGGGAATAGTGAAACTTTTTTTCTGCGTAGCTTTCGTGACTTTTATTTTTTTTGCCAACAAAAAAAGAACCCGAAAAGAGCCCTTTTATGCAACTCTTATATACACACACACACCAATCTACCCAGCCACCCACTTACCCAGCCACCCTTTCAGATACATTGACAACGCCTGCGAGTAACGCAAATGGAGAATGTCTTTGTATTCATTGTGCCGTGTTCTGGGTAGAACTAAAAGTCATCTTTAGACATTTCTTTTGCCATGAGCACTTCAATGCACGCGTGTTTATTTACAGTCTTGGTTACATAGGTGTAACAGTAACAGTTCTTCCGGCTACGTGTAATACTGCTTTTTTTCACTCGGAATATCGATGTTGAGAGGTTTTACTCAAAAATGCAGCTTGGCACCAGTCATATGTGAAAATTGTCATCATAAAATATCGACTCGGAGTATTATTGTTGTTTAATTTTGAGAAATACAACGATTACACGTTGATTGACAAACCAAAGTCATTGCCATTACTGCTTCGTGTTACATAGAACATGGTGTTTGCTCTAAGCAATGGACAGGTAATGATTTGCAGAGCAGGTGGTATGTCATTACAAGTTGTGTTTTGCAAACCCTGACCGGTACACCACTACTAATAGTACATTTGAACTTGATCTTCAATAACTCTGCTCAGTATATTTTTCAATGAGATATTTAGTTGGTTGCATCCAATGGCACAGCACAAATACCTGTGGGCATACATTTACCTGATGTTATGTCACCTATTCGACAATGAGGAATTAATTATGGTGATTGTTTGAGATTATGTCCAAAGTCCATTATCATAGACAGAGGAGTTCTAAACAAAATAATAAAAATGGATTGTTATGAGAAAATGTTTAGAGCACTCCACATCCTTCCCACATGTAGATGGAAGGAAGAGGTTGCTAAATATGCCTCTGCTGTGGTCAGAAATCTCAGAGGTTGCTAGAAATCAGTTTATTGCAACGGAGTACATCATTATTAGAGCTGCGAGATTCCCTCGATTCATAGCCTGCAATCGCACTTACATTCCAATAGATTTCTAACTGGGCCTTGGCATCGGTAAAATCTTGGAATCATGGGGCAGGGGGAGAGACTTCACGGAAGCCATCGGAACGTTCTGCGTAGGCATTGACCATTAGATACTCGTCGGTATCTGCCAGAACCACCATTGAAACGGACGATGACCAACACCAAGTATGTGAAATTAGCTCAACCCTACCCCGATTCTGTCGTTCAGGGAAGACGGGAAGGTCTGTGGTCCCAGGACACACAGAATCAGTCAGAATCACCATTCTGGCTGAATCACCATTCTTGCTGGCTGGAATCAACAATGCCAAACATAATTGAAGGCATAGTTGACTCTTAGCCAAGCTAGATTCGCAATCGAATCCCAATAGAATATCATTCTATTGCACACACCTGCCATGGTAGAACCCCTGTTAGGGTACCATTTCAATTATCAAAAAATTTAGGATGAAAATCACCCACAGAGGAATCACACAATTCCTGTAGGAATTACCCAGCTCGAATGACAATGTATTTGTTACATTGCGCCATGCATTGCCATCGAGCTCATAATGTGGCTCTGGTGGCCCAGAGCACAAATGTTAACAATTGTCATCTCAAGTCTCATAGAATCAAGAGCCTTCAGTCATAAATAATTATCGCGGTAGCAAGATGTTAACTACCTCGCCTGGTATACAGGCCGTGGGATCGATCCCAAGCCTGACGCCTGTTATATATTTGGAGTTTGCATGTTATCCCCGTGGTTGTGTGCATTTTTCTTTGGGTCCTCCGGTTTTTCCTTCCACAGTTATAAACGTGCGTTTAGAGTACTTGGTTACTATAAATTTCCATGTGACAAAGAGCTACATAGCTCAGTGGGCCTTACCTGCAAAAATAAAAGTAGTTTAGTTTTAGTTTATAATTAAAATATCAATAGGTATTGTTACTGGTTTCTAAAATAAACACTATTTTTTGCAACAGTGTTAATCATGAAAACTATACATATGAAATATAGCAACACTCTATACGGACACACATTCGCACACGTGCTATTCATACACCCTCCTTGGTTGTGCGCTCACGCCATTGCCATATGCTACATAGTCCTGTTATGCGCTTAGATTGAATACTTTACATTGGCTGAAAAGCTACACTCGGTTAATCCTCACAGCAAACCTTGAAAGCGCAGCTGCATTGACTCTGAGCTATGTGGCTGGCTTGACTTAAGTTAAAATTGAGCACATTTTTGGATTACGGTGCACTGCTGTCGTTATTATATATGGCACATTTGCCTCCACATTGGCTTTTGTTTAAAACGTTTCCCCCTCCCCTGCCTCACGTGACTGGCCTGGACTCTGTCAAACGACTGTACTGATAAATGTCTGCATTTCAGTTGCATTGCAAAGTTGGAACAAAATTGTCAGTATAAAGGTGAGAGTGTGTTTGGGTTTATTTCACATTGCTTAGTTTCAGCAGTTATTCTCTTCACCAGCAGCCCAGTATGAAACCTTCACTTATTTGGTTTGTGTGTAGACGTGTGTGCATGTTCTCACCAACAGCCTGTTAAGAATATATTGGGGACTTTGTATTTGTCTTGTGCATGTGTGCTTGTGGGGACCGATGGCGCAGTGGTTAGCGCGCTGTGCTACAAACCTGGAAACCCAAGTTCTTTTCCCGCTCAAGTGGTGAATAATTGAACCGGGCCTGGACCTCCCATAGGTCGACTCAGCCCAAAATGTGTGATGTGTAGATATCAGCACTGGAGACACAAAGGTGGCCGGGTGTGGTGTTGGCATCCCACAGTACCGGCCTCATTTATTAGTGTTCACAAATAATGATTGCCCCAACAGCCTGTTATCGGCTATGTGGGGGATATTTGTCTCTGTGTGATAAGTTATTTTTAATCATTTAACAATGTTACACATAGTTTTTCAAAAGTAATATACACATGAATGGGCGTTAGTAGGCCGCTCTGATGTTCCTGGAACTACCCTATTATAAACACCAGTTAAAGGGTAACTACGTTTAAACTGATTAAACAAATCCAAGGTCACTAAGCCCCAATACAATGGTGGTATTGTAAGAGACCAAACCTAATCCTCACCTCCCATCGGTATCTTTGAGAGGGAAAGGAGGAATACGTTGCAATAGGAGCTCAAAACGGTCGTTGTTTAAGTGTGTTCACAACAGCTTAATGCATAATCTGCCAGAAGTGACTTTAAGGCATTCCCAGTATAATGGCATGAGAGTTCATCTCTT